AACTCGATCAAACATGGATACAAAAATACATAAAACTCAAACACTGGGTCACATGACCCAGCCCATGACACCATGTGCATGTGATGAAGGAAGAAGCACATTTAAACTCTTCTGAACTTGATTCATGCTCCACTGCTGACACTGTGTGTCACCACTTCAGACAAAGACTCGTTGGCTGCTGGTTCATGAGCCACTCAGATTGTTTGTGGTCAAAGTCAATGCAGACAGCACAGACTGGACAATACAATGAAGTTCTCTTATAACCTAAAGCAGAATTCCAATAATTAACCCACGTGTGATAGTGTGGATACTTATATGGCTGATTTTTGTTTTTTAAGCTGCTGCAGTTGATTTCACATGTTCGATTTAGCGCATATAAGTAGCTATGTTCAATCCACTTCTCCAAATAAGACCTATCACAGCTGTAGGGCAGTTGGCAGGGTGCACCCTGGACAGATTGCCAGTGTGTAGCAGAGCTAACACAGAGAGACACACAACCATTCAACCTAGAATCAGCAACTAACCAAACCTGTGTAACTGCATGTTTTTGGACTGTGGGAGGAAGCATGTAAAGAAACGTAGACACGGGGAGAACATGCAAACTCCTCACAGAACGGCCCTGACCAGCTGATAGATTAAAAAATCATGTTTAACTTTTCGCACTCAGCCAGTATGTCTGTCCTGCAGATGGTCAGTCTCCTGATGATTGGCATCGCGGCGTGGGGAAAGTGGTTTGGTCTGGTCTCCAGTTTCCAGGTGGTGGGAGGCATCATTGGTGTGGGTGTCTTTCTCTTCTTCGTGGCGCTGGCTGGCCTCATCGGGGCAATGAAGCATCACCAAGTCCTGCTCTTCTTTGTATCCTTCACAAACTCAAGCTATGACTCTTCTTTCTGTACTTTCATTCACAACTTCTATAAAATGACATTCAGTAATACAAATTCAATCCTTTTTCTACATATATAGTTCCAGTAGTGCCCGTTCACAGCAACAGTCATCTCAAGACGCTTGAAGATAATGTAAGGTAAAGCCCTACAAGAAAGGCAGGACCCCAACAATCAAACATAACCAAGCTCTTGGTGGCAGGAGACCTCCAGCAGAACCTGGTCGGGGGCATGTTGGTGGGGTGCATAAAGAAACAAAGACGAAATAGAAACTATGTATAATAATATCTGTAACTACAGGGGTCCAACAAAGAATGGCCACACATCACACTGATGTCTTTGGAAATTTCTCTCTCTCTCTCTCACTCTTATTGTCTTCAGACACCATGAAAACTGAAGAAACACAAAGTTTACAACATAAATGTTTGAGCTTATCAGTCTCTCATATCAGTGTCTATGAACAGTCTTGTGCAAGCAGAACAGAAAAAATGCACAATAATGGATATAACAAAAATGTCCTCTCAGTGTAGAACACGTATGCAACATTATACAAACAATATCCATGAAACCGTGTGCGCCTCTTGGACCACATGCAGAATGACATTAACGCTGAGGCTGTAGATGCATCTGTAGCCATGTATCCATGCTAGCTCCACGATGCCATGGTTGCGCTCTCAACCAAACTCTGGTCTTGTGACAATTACAACTTTACCTCATACAAACTTACAGCACTTTACATATTTAACGAACCCATATTTTGTAATCACATATTTTAGACATGTTTTTTAATTAATGTTACACTTTTATCATCCTATCTTGTAAATAAATGAACTAAATTAAGCATGAATCTATCACAGAAACATGAAATAACCAACTTTATTGTAACTGTCTCAGGGACAGTTACAATAAAGTTGGTTTATCTTCTGTGGTCGTTGTTTTGTGGTATCGTTGAATTTGTGCTAATTAAAAAATCTAAAAATAATTCTG